TATTTTGCCCCTTACAACCCAGACAATCAAAGACCACTCAATCACTGGAATATTGCCATTATTTGGCGCCCTGTTTGATACCATTTCTGTAGAAATATCCATTCTTATGGTTTGTCCTAGCCTAGCAAAAGTCTCTGTTTGTCTCTTCATCACATCCCTTTATTACTACGGATTCGGGAAGCATTGACCGCAGAGGCTCCTCTCAGAAATTCGAGGCTCCGCTCAGAAATCCGACTTGCTCTGTAGAAAGCTGGTACAGTTTTTACAGAGCAACAAATCCGAACTCAGCTTGAAAAACTGAGAGAGGTTTTGCACCGGACGGCCTGAAAGAATTGATGATCTCTAACCTTAAACAGCAAAAGCCCCTTAAGTAAATTTTTGAGCCGAACCTCAAATTCATGAGAGAGTCCCTCGAATTCTTGAGAGAAGGCCTTCGCGGTCAATTGAATCCGAATCCGTAGTACTACCACTTACGGTATTTTTGCTCTCGAGCGGATATTGCTTTTTAAAATCAAGGTAAAAGTGATGCATCTTTCTGGTCGACTTTTCCCTCACAATTTTTTCACGCGATTTACATTTATTTGTGTTTCCGAGTTGGCACAGAAGAAGGATGTCAAGCGAAACCACGATCCTCCATTCAACCATGCAGCCTTGTGATTACACGGCACCACAGGTTCCTTCATCATCATCTGTTACGCTTGTACTATTAATAGTATTGCACGGGACCTGGAAATCGGATGTGGGAAACCAACACCAGTGACAGCTTCTTCTGAATACTATACATGGTGGGAACGATTATCCTCGTTGCCATACTCAAGAGACCAGCAAGTAAGCTAGCTAAATCCGGAGTAAGAGATCCAGGTTTGTTTGATAGTCCCATAATTTCAAAAAGAAATCAAATCTCGGATAGCTACCCATAGTAGTTACTCTATTATAACCACGAAACAACCACGTCAAAAGAATGAGCACCACCACTGCCACTGAAATTCCCGAGCAAGCCCTACAATCCGCAACCACAAAACCTACAATGACGACATCTTCTCCCAGCAGCAGCAAGAGCGGCGCTCCGTTTGATTTGGAGACAACCTTGACGTATGACAGCATCGAATATTGGGCCAAGAAAGATCCCAAACGCACAGCCCTCGTCATCACAGACAAACAATGGCAAGTGGACAAAGAAGCAAAATTGAAGGGAAAACACACCG